CTGGGAGAATGAATAGCTATTGTTTTGCAACTAGTCGGGATATCATCGTTATTCCTTTCGTATCCTTTGGGATACTCGTGAATTTTCCAAGGAGTAAAAGCAAAAGAAAATGAATCCTCTGGAGGTTTGTCACGCTGAATTGGGAAAACACTGTCACACCACGAATAAGGTCTATTCCATCCATATTTTTGTGTCGACTTCTCATCATGTGCAGCCGTTAAACAAAGAAGTGATGCTCTAGGGAATAACAAGTGGTCTGAAATGGAAAATTTTACCCCAAATTGTAATTGGTCTATTTCAAATTTCTCCATATCAAGCACACCTCCTCATCGCAAAGCCAGTCTATCGCTTGAGATTATGGATATTTCTTTTGTTTTCCAGGAGCAATATGACTTCAAACTTAGTGTTCTAGATGTAGGAGGAGGGTTTCCCGGAGACGACAGCGAATACCATTTCGGCCACGTGAGTAATATTTTAACCATARTAACAGCACTCTAACAAAAGGAGCATTTGCAATTGAAAGCCATATAGTGTTCCATTTCACTAAAACTAATGATTTGTTCCCAAAACGGTCTTGAATTCTTCGTTCAGATGTGCAACATTCTAAAGGAGACGTTGAACAAGAACTTTCCTCCCGAAAGTGGAGTCAAGTTCATAGCCGAACCTGGTCGTTTCTTTGCTTCTGCATCCTACACCCTGGCAGCCATCATAACAACCAAAAAAACCTGCGTCAAAGAAAACTGCAAGGATGAAGAATATCCAGTTTCTTTCTCCAAATATGAGCCCAAAAAGGTGTTTACTATATTAGTTTAAATTCTCTGCTTTCATTTTATTGTAAATGAATTAGAGAGATTATTTAGAGGGTGGCAAGTGACAGTCGCTTTTGGTAAAATTGTGGCTCTTAGGCCTAGGGCAAACGTCGAACTTTCCATGCACCAAACTTAATTACATCAAAGAATGCCGCCTCATTATCACCTGATATCCATTGTTTTTAATGAGTTCGGTGCATGGAAAGTTCGACGTTTCCCCTAGGCCTTAATGTGTTTGAGTGAGACGGGAACAAAAAAATTGTGGTAATCCGCTCGAGCCACGAAAGGTTAATCCTTCGCAGGAATTTTTAAAAACAGCACYTTTTACTCAGATATTTCTTAAGACTTAGAGTGCTGGTTCTACTGAAGCTTACCCAACTTATTTATTTACYTATTTATTCTTACGGCAATGCTTCACGTAAAAAATGAAATTCTAACCGTACCCCTCAATAGGACGTTTGCATGATGGCGTCATTTGACTCCTACTACGTACCATAATGCGAATTTTCTTTCTTATTTAAAATTCTATTCCCTCATGAGAATAGTAAGACAATTGGTACTAATTAACTGAACAAAAGTAAGTGTGCAAGGGAGTCTGATAGTAGAGGTCTATGACGCCATCGTGCAAACGTCATATTTACTCCTGCGACACAAGAAAGACTGTTCACTTTAGTAGCGAACGTAGTTTACTAACAGGCAGAGAGGAAATATATATATATTTCTATCCTTTAAGATATCTCAGCAAGATTAACAGCTGTTACTATAATTACTTTTCATCTCAGAACCTGTACGATTTTCTTTCCATTTAAAACTTTAACACGAGTACCGAGTCTATGGAGRTCCTCCACTGTGTGTAAGTGCGCCGGGAAGGGCTGGAAAAATAAAACGAATTAATTTTTAGACTAAAGTCAAACGTCGAATTAGGCCATACACAATGAGCATTAAGCATCACGCATTGAGTCGTACGATAGATAATGAGGGGCTTTTCTTTAATGGCCCGTTTACACGGGCGATTGATTTGACACGTCCATAATCAAGAATGGTAAATGATCTACTTGTTCACTGTTATTCAGTTCAGGGCACCAAGATTACAAAAGGAAGCTACAGACGAAATTGATTATATTTTCAAAAACCGCCTCAAAAATYGCACCTCAAATCGCCGGAAAAAAATCGCTCGTGTAAACGGGCCCTTAGATCACTAGGTTCGGCTCATGCGAAGTTCGATGTTTGACGGGTTAGTCTTAATTTCCCAAGTATTCAAATTGTAATTCTTTCGTRTTACAGGGTTTCATGTACTACATAGATGACGGCATTGCAAGTTCGTTTACTGAGTCAGTCTGGTTGCCAGGTTACGAGTACAGCAAGCCTTTCCCCCTAAAGGAGTCTAAGGGGGAGCCGCTATTTCCCAGCAGTATTTGGGGTCAGACTTGCGCCAGTATGGACTACGTGACCAAAAATTGTATTTTGCCAGAGGTAAATGAAATTTTAGTCTTTTGAGAGTTGAGTGTAAAGAAATCCAATCCAACAGCAAATAGTTAATGATCATCATCTTCACCATTATCATCATCATCATCGTCTTCACCACCACCACCACCATCATCATCTTCTTCTTCCCCATCATCATCATCATCATCATTTACGGAAGGGACCATCGATGCCAATCAATAGACCAATAGTCCCCTTCACAGTTCCCTGCGSCATCTTGAAAGGTAGCCGTGCCTTTGAATCGAAGCGAGACGAACAGTGAGCTTGCAATGATAGAGACATATGAATAATTGTCCAAGGCGTTAAGAAAAGGTCTCTATCATTGCAAGCTCACTGTTCGTCTCGCTTCGATGCAAAGGCACGCTACCTTTCAAGATGGCGCAGGGAACTGTGAAGAGGACTATTGCTTAAAATTAAATTGATCAGCTGAATTAGCAGCCCCCATGCACAATCCTCTATATATGCATTTCCAGGTGCCATTGCTTTTATAGAAATTTCATCACACGATTATAATCGGAAATGATGTTAATGAACGAAAAATATTCTTTTACATCAAAGATGTTTGCTGGAGACTGGTTGTACTTCAAAAACATGGGCGCGTACTCCAGTGTTCATGCCAGTGGCTTTAATGGCTACACCACCAATAAACATAAATACCATTTCATCCGACAAGCAAACTGGTGAGAATCGATTCTTTTGGATTTAGAATGTTAACAGACTATATATTCACAGGGCGTGAGGGTCGGGAAAGAATAAAGACAAGGGATCGAGGTTAGAGAGGAAGAGAGGGGAGAGCCTAGATATTTTCACTCTTCCCTCCTTTTTTTCTTCTCCATTATCATTGTTCTTGGTATGAATGACATGTGGTCGGAAACAGTGATCCTCTCATTTCCCTCCTCCCTGCTTCTTCCTCCCTCCTCCTTCCTCCCTCCTCCCTGCCCCTTCTCCCTTCTCCCTTCTCCATCCTCCTTCTTCCCTTTCTCCTCTTACCCTTCTTCTTGGTTTTTTAAAATAACATTTTCTCTCCTCCCTTCTTTCTACAGGGAGAAAGTAAGCAAGTACTTCAAGGAGTTCCCAGTTGATTTTCTTGAATAATTAATATCTAACACTTTAAACATCCATACTTATAACTGATTTTTCTGATCTTTATCTCTATCATTCCATCTCTTAGCCTGTACACCAATCGTGGAGTATAGGCCATCAACAACATCTGAAAGCCACAGAGCCCAGTTCTATCATTGCATAGACCTTCGTAGAAATTAACCTTACCTAATATTTTTGCAATTCACCTTTTCGGCGCTAGCTTGGTTTGTGTTACGGTCACCAAAAAGTTCGGACATTGTTCTCGGATTTCCATACAAATTCACTGACTTTAAAGAAAAAATTTAGGTAGATTTCTTTAGTTAGCTATCTTAACCGCAGTAAGAAAAGCTTCAATCCGAGCTAGAAAAATGATCATTTACTTGTATTTAGAGAACTAACTAAACATTAACCAAGTAAATATTTCATTTAGAGTCAGTACACTTTGTACAGAAATTCGAGAACAATGTCCGAACTATTTTGGTGACCGAACACAATCTAAAACAATTTATACCCCGTGATGGCTAGCGCCGAAAAGGTGATTTAACCCTAYGAAATAAGTGTGTCAACGAAATCAACTGCTTACTTAGGTTTAGKTAAAAGTTGTTAATCAGGAAGGTAATGAACGGTTTAAAATCTGATAAATAAAAACCATGCTATCATCATGCAGGCCTTTTTCGAATTGTCCTCATAAAGTCATTCATAGTCATACTAGAGGTTTGGAGTGCTCTTTGCTTCAAATTCTGCCTATTACTATAAATTGAAATCTGAAGAAAAAATAATTTTTTCGTCATGCCTATTTTCATAGGACCTTATCATAGTTAATATTAACCATGGTCTTATCAAATAGGCACACGAATCATTACAATTATTGATTATTTGCAAATTTCTGCAACGAGTCTGTTAATTTCTTCTTCCATTCGGCGTTTACTGTCGTACATGTGAAACTGATGCTTGTTAGCTGGTCTACCACCCAAAGCTAGCATTCCTTCATTGCTATTTTCGCCTAAGACTCCCACTGCAAAGGTCTTGACACCAAATTTTCTGAGGTCATCTGCGTAATATGCAGTTTCTTCCGGGCCCGAAGAGTCAAAGGCGTCGGTCAAGAAGACAGCAGCCATTTTTGATCCTGTTGGAAAGTATAATTTGATCACTGAGAAGAACAAACGTTTCATAATGAAACTAAGGTAGCTGTCAGCAAACCTTGGATTATGTATGATGAATGTTCTGGTTGAGTGGTAGCAACTATTAGTCACTAAATAGATACTATTAKTTAGTATWTATCTTGATTTTATTTCACGGTTTAATTGCATCCGCTCTATTATCATTTTTTAAAATTCAAATCGTTAGTCTTATTCTTGCAAATCTCATCTTTTTTATCACCATCATCATTATCGTGGTGACGATGAATAGTGAAGATAACAAAGCCTGAATRATATAATGAAGACAAAAATATTGATGATGATGGTATTAAAATATTGGTATGAAGTTGTTGGTGATGATGCAGGCCCGTAGCTAGTGGGG